CGCCGGGTACCCCGAGCCGAGGGGGGAGCGGGGGAGGGGAACGGAGGTGCCGCGGTGGCGGAGGGGCGCTCCTCCGCTCTTGCCGTATGCGGAGAGGGGGATTAAGAAGTTTAGCGTGTAGGTTAGCCCAAAGTTGCAAAGGCATGTGCTGATTAGAATAAGAAAGGGCAGTCGCGTGGCTCAGCTGGCACACAGCGAGGCCAGATGATAGATAAGCAGCTCCGGGCCTTCCCTCCCCCCCAGCCCCCTTTTTCAAATCGCAAATCATCTGCTCCGGCCCTATCCTAGCCCCTCATTTTCATGACAATGGTTGTGTGTTTACCTGTGATCCTGGGACCGACAGGGCATTCCTTTGTCTCCCGAGGAGATTACCGCAGCCAGCTGCTCTCCAACCCTTCCCTGGGCAAATCCCGAAGTGGCCCCTATATGTGTTTTACCCACTGCACACGAGGAGAGAGCCCCTCCGCCCCGTCCCGTCCCGCTCCTTTGCGCAACTTGTTTGAGTTTGGTCCCTGGCTTGCTTCCGACGTGATTTTGCTTTGGGGAAATTATGAGGGATAAAATTGGTCACTTGGGTGCGTGAGCTGTCGTTGCTTCCAAAGTGGGAAGGGAGAAGAGCTGCGTACCCCTGCCCAGGGCAATCCCTAGGGGCAGAGCCGGGGGGAGGCTCCCCGGGACGAGGGCTGGGGGCCGCAGAAAGGAGGCTTCCCCCCCACCTTGCTTTCCCCTTGGCCCTCGGGCTCCCCCCAGGCCAGGTCAGCACACTCCCCAAAAACTTCCCGATGCTGCCCGGGGCCGGGTGGGTCCTGCTGCCTTCCCCGGTCTCTGCTCCGGGACACGGCGATTCAAGCGATTCCAGCGAGCAGCTCAGCCTCGCGTTTGCAGAACGGGCCTCTTTGTCCCTCCTCAACTCCAGTGACACAATCTTTGGCATACTAGAAACCACGGATAGCGTTCGCACTAGACTACCTTCCAACCCCGAATATTCCACGATCCTGAGAGTCACCCTGTGCCCAGCACCCTCTCAGGCGAGCCTGGCAACCCCCCTGCAGCGCCGAGGCCTGGCACGTCTTGGCTGGACAGTTAGGGGGCAGGGAAGGCAAACAGTCGGGCTCAGATCATGTACCTGGAATAAAAAACGTGACGGCACTTCTCAGAAAAATGTATTACATTTCAGCTATGAGATTGTTCTGGATGGCTGGAATAACTCCCTTCTGCTACCAACTTCAGTAGCAATATTCACTGTGTTCACATTTTCTTATAGCGAAATCCCCTTTTCTCTTTCCCCCGGTTTTATTAATCATAATCTTAGGCCAGAACTCCAAGTAGTAGCTGCAAACTGCACTGCCACTGCACTATGCTGCATTTAATGCATGAAGGTTTTTTCTGCTCCCCTGTGCCCTGCAGCCCCCTTCACACAGTGTGCAGATCTTGAGCACTGTGCACTGGCTGTGGTGCAAAACCTGCTGCGAGTAAAACTGAGGGCAGGGGAGGCATTTTGGTCATATGTTTCCAGGGCTTCCCGAGCCACTTCCAATTCACCTTGTTCCTATTTCTTTCCACATCTCTCTATGTGCAGGGAAGGCAGTGGGGGAGGAGAGAGAAGGGAGCAGAAACTCCTCTGCAGAAGATGATTATGAGAAAGAGGATGGGTATGGATGGGGCGGGCCTGAGCTTTTGGAATTGCTCTCCCCTTTTCTGAGAGCATCTGCCCCGAGACGAACAGATGTGGGCACCTGCGGTGACAGGCCACATATGCTCCATCCTATTCACAGGCATTCAGACACAGCTACAATGGTGAGGCTTTGTGCACGCAGAGTCACCAAATATATTAATCTGTGCTCCCTGGAGCACTACTCTGTTTAATTTTTCACCGGCAATAACATCTGATCTAATCCTCCCATCAGCTCTCCCATGTCCTTCTCTACCCCCTGAAAAGATGTGAAGTTATTCAGGTCCCCACCTGTTGCCCACAGGGTGGAAGCAGGTCACGCTCCCGGCCCACCTGCCACCAGCCCTGTTATCCCGGCCTGTGCTTAGGGATGCACCCCAGGGAAACGGAGCTGCCCTGCCCTGCCAGGCGCCCAGCAGAGCCGAGCAGAGCCTCCTCCCTGCTGCGGGCCGGGTCCCGCCGCTTTGTGTGCCCGCGGCCAGCGCTGCTCAGCGGGCCGCCCGGCCACGGCTCCGCACCCATCTCCCTTGTGCCACCCGGGGGTTTTCAGAGCACTTTCGGTGCGCGACGCTTTCATCTCTCCCCCGTCCCGGCTGGGTTTGTTCGGGGGCACAATGGCCCCTCCTGACCCATTGTCGCCGTACAAAGCCGAGGGAAACTGTGCCCCGGGCGAGGGCAGCCGCGGCTCAAACCGGCACGGCCCCCCAGGCACAGACCGGGGGGCGGGCAGGGGCAGGGGCAGCGGCAGGGGCAGGGGCAGGAATAGGGGCAGGAATAGGGCCAGGGGCAGGAACAGGGGCAGGAACAGGAGCAGGAAGAGGGGCAGGAAGAGGGGCAGGGGCAGAGCCAGGGG